GATGTAGACATTTATTCTACTGTACGCCTTCCCTTGTTACTACCTAGTTGTTATCACAATACTACTAATAGCATTGTGTGCGGATACAAGTAAACATTCTAACTTTGGTTCGGTGTTATGTACATTTATATAGGATTCGAAATTCAATAAATTAAAAGATAGCCTCCTGTGTATCCAATATAAGCGCAAGCAATTTTGTGATTTAGTAAGCCGATCCATCTGATGTATGACCAACTTGTATAAATTGTGGTCCTCGAAGAAAATTCACTAGAATATTGACAGGTTGATCGGGTGGCGCAGTGAAAAACGCACTCGCCTTTCATCATGGCGGCCGGGGTTAGATTCCCCGATCGGAAGTGAAATCGTAAGGTGTCACCTGCCCGACCACGTGGATTTTCGCCTGTTACTCCGGTTTCCTCTCACAATAAGACCCTCTGCGTGCTAACAAGAGAGGTAAGTATAAGTGGAAATAACTCGATTCCTAGTTGTTGCAAAATGAATAAGTTGTATATGTTTTTTAATTACTGACCTTTTAGTTAGTCTTAAAGAGCTGACCTTAAGTTATTGTCTAAATTTTAAGTGTATTATTACAATGTTTCCATTGAACACAATTTATGAATTTTAGAACTATGTATAATGTACAAGTCGTTCTCAAACCAATTGTTTTGATTAAAAACAGAACAAACAAACAAAAATATAAAATATCATCAAAATCGGAATAATTACATTAATAATATGAATAATTTTCGAACATACATATATACGCGAATTACGGAACAATTTATAGGGACCACCGTGTTTTATCTCCAAATCAGATATGTTGTCCCCCGTTTCCGATTACTGTTGTAAGCAACATTGAAGTCTTTATGTCACCTAATGTATTTTGCATGTGTTCAAATGATTGGACCACAGCGCTTTCTTATATCATACCACAATATAAATAGATGTCGCTCTTGTTTTCCGTAAAACTGAATCAGTGTTTGAGTTTTGTTTCAAATATGAAGCAAATCTAATGTGCAGGATCAAAATAAAAAAATATCAACACGATAATATACTCTTTTAAGATGAAAGCAGGATTTCAGCTTTAATTACAAGATATCAAATAGCATCTCTGAAACACAACAGTAACAATATTATTTAACAACTATCACACACACCTGGCGTTTCACGCCAACGTAAACAAATCACATGTTCGTCTTGGTCACAAAATCGACGAAAGCCTGTCATTCTCTGTCGTATTACCCGGGAACTGTGCGTCAACATCGGGTTAACGAGGTGTTGGGTTTATGATCTCGTTCTCCGCGTGATTACAGGGTAAGCGTCTTTGCACTACATTAATATGTTGTAAACCTCATATCACGTTTTCATAGCAATTTGATGGATATTTATAATCCAGCGTACACGCTATAAACAATACGACATTATACGACGGAACAAATAAATCAGATTCAATGTGAAACCTAAGATAGAGGATTTCCACAGTTTTCCTATTGCTTTCAATACTGTTTTTACACTTTGGGTTAGATTTCCTCAATATATTCATTGGTATCAATCAATAGATGATATGCAGGATGACAATAACTGATATTTCCTATCACTCCGTGACGTCATCGTCATGACGTCAGCTTAGGACTTGGAATATCAACTGATGTCCTTCTCCTATCCAGTTCATTGTCCTTCTTTCCGAACATGGCTCCCAATTTCCGTGATACGGTTACAAGAGAGCTTCGTCTTCGTTTTAATAAAGGTTTATTCTGTTGCACAATTTTAGTTTCTCGCAGAAGTGCCTGGAAGGCAACACTTATAGTGATGTTGGTCTCGGCTGCTGACACCTCGTAGTACTGGCAGTTAAACTCAAGCGCCATCTGGTGGCCCTCATCGACACCTACTTCCCGGCGGTGTTCTAGATCCGTTTTGTTGCCGATAAGTAATGTTGGGACGTACGACGACGATCTTTGTTTGTTGACTGTCTCAAGGAGCAGCTTAGCGCGTTCAAACGAATACTTATCACATATACTGTATACAATGATAAACGCATCAGCCCATGTTATTTGGCCATCCGCCGGAAGTGTAGAACAATCCTGAAAGAAAAGAAAATTAAGTTAAATGATATTTAAAATAAAGAAACTGAGATGTGCCTGGTCCGAAAGCCCGTTTGTTTACCTAATAATAGCATACATTGTAATTGCCCTTTCAAACAATGTCGAAATTGTTGTAAGTTGACGATATTTAAAGATATAATTTCTATAATGCCAAAGTGATATCCATTCTAATAAAGGCTAAAACCCCGGATATACAATATAGATAGGATAAGGACATAACGGTACTGAGATTGTTCTCCTATGACCCTTTCCCTCGTGAACAGATCATTTAGGAAAGGCCATAAAACATTAAGTACAATTATGCCATTTGAAAACTAAAACATTTAATGAATACAGATTAACAATGGATTAATTGTTTAATGAACATACATTGTTTATAAGAAATGATAGCATTATATTAGTAAAAACAGTATTCTGGATATATTAGATTTATTAACACGTTACTCGTGTTAGGTAAGAATTATGTTTTGAGCATTGCTTTTTAATTACTTGTCAGCTATCATCAAGATATTCATATATCAATGACTCTTCATTATCATCGAAATTTTGTATCGATGACAAAGGTACTGAGGTATTATTATTGTAATCAAACCTGACTACAATACAACATGTGCAGACCTAGCTAAATACAAATAACGTCCAATTACTGATTCAATACCGTCTAGGCTTTTGTGACAATGTACGCTATGATTCTACCCGACTGTTATTTGACCACACCGGCCTGGTATCGCCACTAACAGACGCTGGTCGTCTTGTCGAAACTATCGGTTAAGATCACGTACAAAAAATACATTGACTTAAGTATCAGTATCAGGTTGTGATTTTCGGCAAAAAAACATATGAAGTCGTTTTCTACATAAAGGACAAAGGCAGACGCTAGAGATCAGATGTTCCGTCTGGAGCAATCTATTTTGATTTCATTTCGTTTTGATATGTGGTTACAATTTCGAAATGAAATTAGTTTATGTATCTAAATGAAACGATGCCCTTATCTGTACATGAACATTATCAAGAAAATGTCGGGAACATTTTGTGATGGTTTAAAAGATTCTGGCCGTCTCTCATCAATAGGTTTATCAAGATTTTGTTGAGAACAAGTCAAATTTACATAGAGCCCTAATTAGAGTATTTATCTGTGTTGTCCACTGGACGTGCGTAGTACAGACGGTTTCCTGTCCGGACCGAGGACACTGACAAGGACATATGGCGACTTGACCAAGTCACTCACCTATATTTCTTTTCATTAAATATGACCTAGATTTATGTTGACGAATTGTGTTTACCTTTGTGCGTAACAATATTTGAGATTTGTCCAAACATGGCGAGCTAATTATATTCTGACACATAAACGTGTCTACAGTATGTCTATTTGCACTTTCTATCGTTTCAGGTAAACCTAGAAATATTTCAAATATATATTATGAATATGTGTCCCAAACGCCGTACTATGATATGGGAAGTCAAAATCTGTGTCACGCCCGTCTGATATCTGTGACATACATGTCTGATGTATTTATGTGACATACTTGTCTGATGTATGTGACACACCTGT